AGAGACCTGTCTAATAGCTCGTAGTGTTAAGTAAGCGAAAACTTTACATCGAAATGCTAACTAGAAAGGCACTTTACAGTTTAAAAAAAAAACAAAATAAACCAGTATGATTATAAAATAAAAATTACATATTGTGCGTATACATACAGCTACAAAAGAGTAACACACCCGCAAATCGCTTTGGCGGCTTTCTGATTTTGCTTTTCGTCAATTCTATGCACTAGATTCTATTGCACAGACACCCGAAACACCCGAAGCAAACGAAGGGTGTGTTTAAAACACCCATGTTTCGGGTGTCTTTAACTGTTTTGCATGAGCAGGTCATTGCAAATTGAACGAATAATTTTACATGAAAGTAAGGAAGGAAGGAAGTCCCAATAATTTTACATGAATATAGAATATAGAAGTGTTTCAGGTGTCTGGTGCAACAGAATAGTTTGTGAGTATGAGCACATTCGAAATGATCAGTACAAGGGAACCACCCTTACTTTATGGTGCCGATCACACTTTAAGTGCCGAAAACACACAAATGATTTGGGTACACTTATTGTTTGCCGTTCTCTGATATGTATGTACATGACACTAAACTGAATCAATGTGTAACTACATATGATTGCGTAGGTACCATTCCTGCCGGGTAGACAACGAAAATTTTCAATGTGCACTAAGCAACACTTTACTCTACGGGTTTACCAAGCCCACATTGCCTTTATGGACCGCACTTTTGACGAATATGTTAAAGTTTTATAAAACATTACTTACTTATTTATTTAATCTCATTTGCAAATACGTACGTATGTATGTATGTATTTACATATTTATAACGACTTTAAAATTCCCGTGCTATGCAGTGCTTCAAATAGATGACTTTGTGTAATAGTAAATTAAACAAGAGGAAACGCTATAGTCGAGTGCCGCGACTATAAGATACCCGTTACTGTTTTACAAAATTTTAAAATATTATTTTGCTAGTGGAAATTCACAATGCGCCACCTATTGTCAGAGGAAGTATGTTGAGTATGCTTATAGTGACGTCACTGACCATGTGAGGCCTTATAACCTTAATTTCTTTATAAATAGCGAAATAATGCTCCGATTTGAAAAATCTTTGGTAAATCGATAGATATTAACAGAAATAAGTTATACAAGGTCAAACGAAGGCATTCATAATAATATTATAGACGCCACAGTTTTCCGCGGTTTGTGGGCGTTAGAGTGCGCGTGGCTGGATGCAACTTCGTGGCAAGTTGCAGAGGCATCTCTTAAATACGTGTTCCTAAGCAAAATTGTGTAGCTCTTAAAGTTTTCGAAATTTTTGCAATTTTCGTTTTTCGGGTTTTGTGGGCGTTAGAGTGGGCGTGGCTTGATCGGAAAATCAATTCGCATTGGGAGCATCATAGAAACCTACATGCTTAATTCGAACTTTCTACCTCTTATAGTTACCGAGATATCAGCTTTTTTAGAAAATCCGAAAACCTTCTTTTGAGCCTTTTGGGCGTATGGGTGGGTAGTACCACTATGAGATGCGCTGCCATCTTAAGATTATACTTTCTGAATTTCAACTTTCTAACTGCAATAGTTCCTGAGATTTCAGCAATTTTAGTTTTTTGCGATTTGTGGGCGTTAGAGTGGGCAGGATGCTGTAATAAACTTGCGCTGTCCTGGGACCTCAAGAATCTTCATGCTTAGTCTCAACTTTGTATCTGACGGACGGCCGGACAGAAGGACATGTCTCAATCGACTTCGCTATAGATCCTGATCAAGAATATATAAACTTTATAGGGTCGCAAACGCTTCCTTCTATCTGTTACATACTTTTCAACGAATCTAGTATACCCTTTTACTCTACGAGTAACGGGTATAAAAATTCTGCAATCGCCATCTACATATGTACGTCACCGTTTACTTACTGTATGTTAGTTAAAAAACCATAATTTATTCATAACTTACAGTTTTTTATTATGGTCTGATTTTCAAAAATACGATAGACCTACATATTAAATTAATATTCAGCTTTATAAAAACGCCCATCAATAGGCCAATTAATTGAAGTTGTAATCAAAAACTTTTTTGCTCATCTTAAAATTCTTTCAATAATGTGCGTATTAAATAGAATGTTCTTAATTGATCAGTTTAAAACATAAACAAAACAAGTGAATGGGATGTAATAAAAACTCTTAAGAAACATTGTATTTCACCTTTAGCAATACTTTTGCATTCGTCAATGCATTCCTTGTTTTTATAATAAGAGTATCTTGGAGTAATTAGTGCAGCTTGTCGAACAAACATTTTAAAGATATAACAACGGTCGTCTAGATTTTATTTATTTCATCTCTTTGTATTGTTGTGTTCATGTTTTTAAACTTATTTATTAATTCATCTCCTCCTATTGTGTGTTTATGTTTCTAAACATATTTATTAAGGGATGTCTCAATTAATTCGCTAGTAGACTTTATTCTATTGATTGGAGAATTGAACTGGAGAAGGGGGAGTATACCAATCGTTTTTATCTGGTGGGCATACTATCCCCAAGTACAACTGAGTCTGGCAATCCGCTGATCATGTCATATTAAAACAATTGGCGCAACCAAAATGTAACACTCAAATCGAGCTCTGAAAAAGCTTTGCTCAAACGCCAAAATGCCCTGCCCCTGGCGCAGCAAGCGTCCCTTTCACATGATTCAGAATTAATGTGCTGATATCAACAACAAACAGCCCACTTACCTGAATCAGAACGGTAGTTTTCCAAGCCAACATAATCAAAAATACTGGACGACTGATAAAGACTTGTCTCGATTCATCCACATAAAAAGGAACTAATCCCACAATAATCAAACAAGGCTAACACTATCAAGATTATTTAGACTTCGGAAAAACTGGGTAAAGTGATCTGGGTAGTGATCTGCACGACAAAAAAGGGACCCTCAACGGACAAACCAGTAAAGCCCCTACCCATCAACTTACGGCAATGAATCTGCACTATATTGGTCATGAAATTAATCTAAAAAATGCAATAATCAATTATATATCTAAGTATCAAATTGAACAGTTAAAACCAAATCAATATATCCGCAGCTCACTGACGACCATCTTTCTCCAGGTAGACCACCATATTGGCCGGCACACCCCAACAAAAAGACAGATTTGATCTTCTTTTGTCGGACCACTTGCCTGTCCTTATTAATCTAGTTCGTTACCCAGTACACGACACAGACAAGTTAGGTATACAAAATATATAAGCTCACACACTGACCAACCTTCAAATCAAAAAACCGAAAATCAAAAAAAAAGATCAATGTGACTCTTTGTGGTGGGCCTACCCACCAACAGAAATGGTTATGCCTAATAGAAATCACATGGGGAGCTGGACCCGCATCGACAATGATAGACCTATAGTTATTGGCTGAATATCTACAAAATGAGTTCCGTCCAAATCTAACCATAAACTTGTGTGCTCTATTGGGGCTAACTGCTGAATCTCCATACTAAAACTAACACATTGAGTTCAGTAAAAAATAAGTTGCACATACTATCAAAAACCAACTAAGTCCGAAGAATCTAATTTGCAGTATCGCCCTTTTCCTTAACTCCATTACTCAGGTTGGATACCAAGAACCACATAGCTCCCTCGTCTTGTATCATGCATATGAAAATTCTTCTAGAAATTCCTGGACGTTTCTCAGGTATTTAATGGTGTTCGGCTACATGGTCTAATGTACTAGAAAAAAAAGTACTCCCAAAGAATATGAAAAAGTTCCTAGAGTCTATTCGTTACGACGACCATTTTCGGACCAACAATATTTATTCTCATCAAAGGTGACATCCCAACATACTGTTAACTAACATCATTAACCTTAGCAGACAACATAGTTATTCTCAGCCTCTACAGATGCCTCAAAAAAGCAACAGTGTAATGACCACTAACACTAAATAATAAAAGACTCACATGGCGCAGGGATATCGAGGCCAAAATAACATAGCTAAATTTAAAACCCAATAGCCAACGAGCATAGCTGCAAATACCGGAAACAATTACAGAGCAGCGAGGAATTTTCTCAGTAAAAACAAACATAAAGCCCTAATTATTCCACTATTCGAAGTAATGTTAAAGATTAAAGAAGAATATCTCATAAAGCTCTCTTGCAACCCCAACCATTTCGCCCGACAACTTTCAAGGCTATCTAGTACCTCCCATCTTTGCAGGCCAAGCGAATTTGTAATTTGACACCTTATATTTAGCAATGGGACTAAAGAAGAGTGAAACAAGGGAATATTCAATAAATATAAATAAGGTAAAAACAAAATTTTGATTTGAGCGAAAAATGGCGTATTGGGAATGCAAGTTAAAGCAATAAGACACGTTATAGTCGAGTGCCGCGACTATAAGATACCCGTTACTGTTTTACACAATTGTTATATATTCATTTTGCTAGTTGAAATTGACAAAGCGCCACCTTTTGTCAAAATAGCACGTTTAGTAAATGATTGTGACGTGACTGTCCATAATATATTGGTATTGACCCGATATTGGTACCCCCATAAGATGCGTTGGCATCTCCAGAGTATACATAGTTAATACGAACTTTTCTAAAAGTTCCTGAGATTTCAGCGGTTTCAGTTTTTCGTGATTTATGGGCTTTTGGGTGAATGTGGCAGGGAGGTAAAATAAACTTGCACTGCGTAGCAAACTCATCTCTGTATCTGTTATTGTTCCTGGAATGTCAGCGTTCATACGGACAGACGGACGGACGCTTAATCGACTTCGCTATTGATACTGATTAAGAATGTATATATTTTATAGGGTCGGAAACGCTTTCTTCTGCCTGTTACATACTTTTCAACGAATCAAATATACCCTTTTACTCTACGAGTAACGGGTATAAAAATCTAGTTACTGTTTTTACATATTTATGTACATACATGTCCACTTTTACGTAACCAGTAAGGGGTAGAATAACCACTTTCAGAAGTAGCCTGTATAAATAATACATGTACATCAATTATTAACCATAAAAATTGTTTATGTTCTTTCAAGAATTCATAGGCACTACGTGGGATAAAATCCTTCCTTTCTGTGTGAAGCTAGAATGGGGAAGGCCAGCCTTAATTGTCCAAAAACCTGGAGGATTGCGATTAGGATGCGAAGAAGCCGTGTACTTCGCTAGCTTGATCTGTTCCTTTTCCCGAATGCCGTGTGCTGGAAATTAATGGTATCACCCGAACTTCAGCACCTAAAGATGTTCTGTACATATGCGGGTCGCAATCTAAATTGCTGTGTCATCCGTAGTAGAACTGGGAACCAATGGCTACGCCAGTTGAGAGAGTTCGTGGGGCGGTGCCATCATATGAAGGGTGCAGCGCCGATGTGCCCTCGGCAGAAGCAGGTACATGGTTTTGAGAGGGTACATTCATGGCCAGTGATCCGAGCATTGTGGGCTCCGCTAACGAGCTCATTGCCAACAATGTCGGCGGTGTCTGTGTGTTATTAGGACGCTGAAATGCACCCATGCCTTCGGCGTTAATAAGATACTCTCCCCTGATTGTTGGGGCCGTCGTATACTGAGCAATCGTTGTATTGGGAATCATTGTGCCTTGAGGAACAAAAACGATGTTAAAAAACTTCAAAATGTTCCGCCGATTTTACTTACCTACGGCACTACTACTGGAAGCACTAGTTCCAATCACGACTGCCGACGGCAAAATGCCTGCCAGTATACCCTGGCCACCTGAATTGGCAACACCTGTGGCCCCAAAAGATCCCGCTGCTCTGCCTATGAGGTCAGGTGATTGACGAGTTTCCACCAAAAGTTGATTTGCCAATAAGTCCTGTCCACTTACCGAAGATAGATGATTTAAGGAGAGACTGGCGTACACGCTGCTGGCTGGCACGTATGTCAAACAATTCTGAACGGGAATTAGAAAGCTGGGCGACGAAAAAGCTTATTATACTGTACTTACTTTATTTTTGGATACGCTGGGTAACGGCATTGGAGTTTTTAGGTCAATGTCAACATCTATTTGAGAAACCGTATCGTCAAGTCCGTTTTGGATGGTTGTTCCATCTATTGCACAGCCTTTGATCTCCGAGGTTGTGTGCGTGTCAGTGGTTAAACCACGACGCTTTTGAAGAACTAGCCGTGTTGCAATAATAAGTATGGAGAAGAACACTCCAAGCGAGCACAAGACTAGTAAATATATATACAAACGTTCTTGGTGCTCTGTTATAAAAAAAATGTAAAACGTAATTTTAAAATTAAATAAAATGATCGATATTTGGTCTAAAAGCAACATATAATGCATATATAGCAACAATGTTAGCAAATAAATCTTTTTGGAAAAAACGAAAAACGTGTTGGTCTTAAATGACATACCCTCTATACTCAAGTCGGCGCTGTGTGTCATAACAGGTTTCATGCCTCTTCCATCTCCATTTCCGCCAAAGGAGTTAGTCTGATTGGTCACCGGACTGATGCTGGTTACCGACCATAGCGTACTGGTGCTGTTGCGGCGGCCTGTTATTGTTGTATTGCTATAAAGCTTGGGAATCGCCTCAGACTCCTTGTAGATAGGTTCGTCGTCGTAGAGCTCATTCATATTAACTTTAAACTCCTCTGCTTCGTCCGGCTCAACTTCTGATTCTTTGCTCTCCTTGAGAACTTGCATTGGCACTAAAAAGGGAAACAAACGCACAAGTCGCCGATAAATTAACTCTTAAAAGTCAACTGTTAGTTAGAAACTCCGCTATTCAGATCTGACACTCGACTTTTATTTTCAACTTACCGCATGTATAAACAACCTTCAAATACATTCGAGAATTGGGTTGGCAAGGGCTTCCAAACGTATTCGCGTCTGCCGCCAGGTAGCATCGACGCCTTCCGTGACAAATTTTCATCACGGTCTCCGTGGCATAGGAGACGAGACATGCTAGTGGAAAATAAATAAGAAATTCAGTGGTATCAATGGGAATAACTTAATAAGTACATTTCTCTATTGTCTTTTCGATGAATTTGCTGACTACTATCGACCTGCAAGATTGAAATTAATTTCTTAGGAACTTATTTTATTGCTCAAGGTTGAAGCTGTCCTGCATACACAAAAGATCTATTGAAAAGCTGTGCTCTATTTTTTTCATTTGCTGCATCTTGAATTTTTGTTGTGACTGACTGAGCAGAGAAGATTTGAGATGAGTTACTTGGTCTGACTCTGGAAACGAATTGAATTTTAAGCGTTTCAGAAATGCCGGTGTGAGCATTTTCAAATTATCCGGGTGTTCCGACTGGACTGGACACAGTGCACGATATTTCTGGCGATGTTTTGTGAATGGGGTGGTAAAAATTCCAGTCTTCCAGTCTTATCTATCGATAAGTACTTAAAGATTTCTAGATCAGTGCCCTGGGTTGAGAAGCAGATGAAAATAGAAATATAACATTAGGTGATTTGTTTGAAGCCTCCGCTTTGTGTTAAAAAAAAGTTCAACAAATGACAATTTCTGTGGTGTAAAAAATTGGTTTTTGGCCGGACTTGATCAGCTGGCAACACATTATGTGCTGGAAAATCGCTGCCTGAGAGCCAGCATGTCAGTATCTATAGCGAAGTCGATAAAGCCATTTCCGTCCGTCCGTCAGTCTGTATGAACTACAAGAGATACAGATTTGGGATTAAGCAGGAAGATTCTGGAGGTCCATATGCAGCGCAAGTTTATTATAACGCCCACAAACCGCGAAAAACAGTGGCATTCATATTATTATAATGTATGTCTTCGTTTGACCTTGTTTAACATATTTTTTTCAATATCTATAGATTTACCGAAGATCGGAATCGGAACAATATTTCGGTATATACGAAGAAATTTAGGCTGTAAGGCCAATAATAGGTCAATAATAAGTATTTATAATATATAATATAACTATTTTCTTCGTTCATTAAAAAAGAAATAACATTGTGGATCTTAGGCAAATTGAGTGATCATTTATTAGACTCAATAAGCATTTAAACACGTTGTCACGGGGCGAATAAGGTAGTCTGGTAGATATCGATAATCTCAGTGTTGTTTACGCAACAAGGTGGTACTTCTTATTTCGAAGAAACGCAGAGTGTTAACGACAAATCCCGGAAATCGTATCGCCGTCATTTTTTTTATTCACATGCTTTGAGTTTGGAATGCTATCGGCATTTTGAAAGAGCACATACGTGGCCAAAAGTGCGACATGCCGGCGACACATTCGCCCAAACGGAGCCCCACACTTAATAAACCTAAATAAACCACTTCTGCAGCATCTGGCACTCCGGCCAGGTTGGAGAATGCAGATTGTGGACCGTAAAGGAAAGTGGGGTATGACGCAACATGAATACTGCTCAGGCTAGGACAGGCTGTGGACCCCACGGTTACGCAGCCTAAGACGCTCATGGAAAGGAACGCAAGTCTGGGGAAGGAGCTCCTTCAGGTAAGGACAAATAAAGTAGCAGCGACGACCGCTAGAAAGACGGGGAAGCTCTTGTGTAAAAATCTGTCAACGACAGACTATGCAGTTGGACAGTAAAGACCCAAAGCGAAGGGTGTTAAATGCTAACGCGAATCTCAATCTACTGATGCAAAGCGAACGTCGGGAAGAACAGAAGGCACCCTAGAGGTTGCCTCATGTGTGAAGGACAACACGTTATCAAAATCTGCAAGGAGTTCAATTACGGATATGATTCGCAAGAGAGCCAGAGCGGTCAGGATATGCCGCACCGGAACCTTAGTTGTATATACTCGGACGGCCCAGATTCTGACCATGAAAAACAAACTTCTACACAAAGGATCGTCCGTAACGCTTATAAGCGAGCACGTCCGAATCCTGCGTGAAGACTGTAAACACATCAATGTACGTGCAGACTGATCCCCAGGCAGTCCACGGCATAGATGAGTAGCACTACCTGGACGACTACGTAGACAGATTCGCAGATGAGGATGAAGCTATTGTCGTTGTCGGTGTGTCGGTTTTGATTTGTGCCAGATTCTCCCTCGGCGAGAGTGGTTAAAGCCTTAAATTTGGAAGGATCCAACGAGTGGACCGAATCCGAGCAAAAAATATTGGGCATATATAGTTTGCCTCGGAGATAGTATATAAGCGGCTGGTAAAAACCACGGCCTAGATCCTTACATTTCTCCGACGACGGCACGAACAGTATAACAACTGTAAGGAGAAGGGACTCAAGGCAAACGAATGTGCCAAAAAAGAGCGCGTACTGATACAGCAGGCGCAGAGTGAAGCGTTTTTTGCGGAAGGCTAAAATAAGACGAGAAAGATCCTGAATGAAGGCAGCCAACCGCGAGGGCTGTCCCCGTACTTTGACGATGTAAGAGACATGCGTGTAAAGGGAAGGATCGACGCCGCTGCATGTGTGCCACTCAGTGCCAGGCGAGCTTTTATAGTGTTCCACAGACACACGCTGTCGGAGATGGAAGTACGTCACAGGATGCGACCATCGCCGAGATACGAAAGAAGTGCTGAATAAGGGTCTTACAGAGGTTGCTACGAAAGGTGGTGGATGACTACAATATTTGCAAGTTGAGAAGGGAACAACCAATGCAGCCAAAAATGGTTTCCTTGCCGGGGGACCAACTGAAAGCCAACGGTTAACTATTCAAGTACACATAAAAAATGTGGGTGGCATTTTTTACTTATTCAGCTTCAAGGGCCATCCATTTTGAGATGCCGCATGATTTATTTTATCCATGATTCTTGCTTCGTCACAAAATCCTTTTTAAGCCTGCGAAGTTCGGAGGTTAAGATAAGAAGTGATAATGGGACAAACTTCCTTGGAGCCTATAGAGAAGCCCGAAGATTAAACGAGGTTTTTGAGTCAAATAAGATCCAGGCCGAGCTGTTGATATACACATATACATATTCTTTTTATAGTCGTGACGGCTTCTTCCCACCTTTTAGATTTTTTTCAGAAAAATTTTAATCAACGAGTAACAAATATAAGACAAAATTTATAAAAATTATTTATAAATAAAAATTATATTTTATCTTTATCTTTATTATCGTTATTTAGTTTTTCTGCAGTCTATACCAAGCGAATTTCACACCACGAACTTACTTTCTTCTGGAACACCTTGCGGCTGGGGACACTGAATGCTCTCATACTCGGTTCTTCCAAAGCTAGCACTATATATGGCTATCCGGGAGTAAGGATTGCACTCTAGCTGAGCTACGTCATTGTGGCAAGCTACTTTACTTCGGAACTCATCTGAAAAAATTTAAAAATATTTAATTTAATATATATTTTAAAGTATTAATAGGGGAATGCGTAACCTCTAATTTTAGTTTTATATTTCGGTTAAAAATAATAATAAGAAGAAAACTGTTAATCCTAATCTTTATGAATTTAGGAATTTGATTTTAAGCATATTCTTCCTGTTTTTTATATTTTATAAATTACATTTTTTCAAGAGTAAAGCAAGATTTTTATTGCAGAGAGGCCCCCCTAACCAAACTCGAAAGACGGTTTTCGCTTTTTGTAGAAAGGCTGATATCTCGGTAACTATACGCAATAGAAATGGGGGATTACGCATGTAGTTTTTATGATGCCCCCAATGTCCCCGAATTGATTTTTTCCGTCTAGCCACGCCCACAAAACTCAGATTACCAAATAACCGAAGCATGTAGTTTCTACTAACGCCCCAATTGCGTATTATTTTTTACACTATCTGGCCACGTGCACTCTAACGCCAAAAAACGAAAATCAAGAGTGCGAAAATCTCGGAAACTGTAAGAGCTAGAAAGTTGCGATTAAGAATACGTATTTAAGAGATGCCACAGTATCTCGACGCGAGTTTTCATCCGGCTACGCCCACTTTAACGCCCACGCCCACAAACCGCGGACGTTTGGGCCGTCTACAATATTAATACGTATGTCTCGTTTGACCTTGCACAACATTTTATCAATATCGATTTACCAAACATTTTTCAAATCGGAATATTATTTCGGTAATTATGAAAAAATTTAGGGTTAGGGTTATATGGACAGTAACGACACCATTAATTACCAAACATGACTATCTTATAGTCGCGGCATTCGACTCTTCTTATTTTAATCTATTTTTATCGATTTGTATATGTGCCCCATCTTATATGCTGGTATGTAAACGTTAAATATACAGAATTTATCATCATTAATACTGAATATTCAGATTTAAGAAATATTAAATTAAAAAATTTAATTCAAATTAATTTTTAATTCATTAGTAGGTCTAAATAAAATTGCCCAAACTATAGGATTTTTATTATTAATTTTTTTTAAATTTATTTTATTCCGTTATATACCTATACTCCTTATACTCCTTATGTATGTCTGATGATTTTTTTTTGCTTTGCTATATATTTATTAAATCTTCTCCCTTTGGAGACTATTGCGAATATACCATGGTCCCCTAAGGATAATTCGGAGAGTTTTCAATTGAACTTGATTTATAATGTGTATGCTCGTTCTGCTGGCGTTCTCCCATAGCTGGGAGCCATATGTCCAGATAGGCTTGAGGGTGTAGTTGTAGAGCAAAACCTTGTAGTCCAGACGCAGGGGCGTACGGGCATTAGGAATCCAGTGGAGGCTGTTGGCTTTTAGTTTTAGATGTTCTTTTTGCATTGGATGTGTCTTCTCCAGGTTAGTCATCTGTCAAGGTGGACGCCGAGATACGTAATATCGTTAGCGTGGGGAATCTGCGTATTATTCAATGATACTGGAGGGCATGTTTGCCGGTTGAGAGTAAACGTTATGTGTTCACATTTTTGTTCATTTATTTTAATCCGCCAATCAGATAGCCACCTCTCTACTACGAGGAGGTAATTTGCTAGCTGTGTTGTGGCTCGGCCTGGGAACCCCGAGCGACTTAAAATTGCGGTGTCGTCAGCGAACGTCGATGTTGTTAGTTGCCTATTCGTGGGAATATCCGATGTGTATAGGAGGAACAGTGTAGGCCCTATCGCGCTTCCTTGCGGGACTCCAGCTTTGATAATGAAGTCGCCGGATGTTGTTTTGTTGAACCATGTTCTGCGAAGGTTCTGTTGTATAGATACGACTCAAGAAGCTTGTGAGTGTAACCAGACAAGTGTGTTTTAATATTGCGCATGAGACCATTTAGTCATACTCGATCAAAGGCTTGACACACATTGAGGAATAATGCGCTGCAGTATTCCCGATGCTCAAAGGCTGTGCGAATTTCTGATGTTATTCTGTTAACTTTTTCAATTGTTCCATGGTTTTGACGAAAGCCAAATTGATGAGCAGGGATAACATTGTGTGCTTCTAGATGTGTTATTATGCGACTTAGAAGGCACGATAATAAACTGATTGGTCTGTAGGATGACGAAATTGTATGGTCATTTCCGGGCTTTGGTATCATAATGACAATCAATTTTTTCCATATACCCATTGAAGAGCTTAGAAATAACCACAATGGCAGAGTTTGAAAGTTCGATTAAAATTTTTGGGGTTATTTGGTCACCACCAGGGGTCTTTTTCTGTTTCAGTTCCCCAATGACTTTCGCGATCTACTTCGGCTATAACAATGGTGGTAGGGAAATAGATTCAGATTCGATTTCTGGTAGTACAAATGAACCAGTGTCATGGTTCGGCTGGAAGACGTTTCTGAGATGTAAAGCAAAAGTTTTGACTCTATCCACGTCGCTGCGGACCCAGCTGCCAGATGAATTTCTTATCGGAGTGACTACTTCGATTGGGGAGCTCAGATTTGGGTGAGCCCTCCACAGAGGATGTTTTGTGATGTGCCTTTTCTGTTTCTTGCTTTAGAGCTCGATTTAGTGTGCGAGTTGCTTTATAATGACGTTGTTTTGCTGACGACGATCTGTTGGTTTGCCAGGCACGTCGATGACTCCTCTTTTTTAGGTCTAGCCATTCAATGTGCAGATTAGTTTTGATGTGGTTGGTTTGCATCAACCTGCCTTGTGATGTTGAGATAGTGGCTGCCTCCACTTCTTCAAGAGCATCGGTAGAGTCGATGTGCGCTGCTAGGTTAAATTGAAGGTTAAATTTGATGTGTGAGCTTACATACTTTTTGTATTTAAACCAGTTGGTTCTGTGCGATGTTAACCTGTGGGGGTGATCTGTAGTTTTTGTGCTATGAAGCAGAGCGAATGGTCTGACGACAGGTACAAAAGCGCTTTGGCGCTTATTATATTGCAAGGAATGTTTTTTGTCACCGCAAAGTCTATTAGGTCTGGAACTTTCCTGGGATATGTTGGACAGTATGTGAGGCTGCCAGGGGTAACGAAGTCTAATTTGTTGTTCGGTTTTAACATTGCATTGTATAATTGCCTTCCCACACAATACGCGATCCCCAGTGCGTGTGTTTGGCATTATAGTCCCCTGCGGCTATAAAGCGATCTCCAAGCAAGTTGTAGAAGCCCAGATTCAGAAACTGTAAAGCGAGGTGGGCAGTAGACAGCGGCTATGGTGAGGTTTCCATTGCCTGACTGCACTTAGATAGACGTGGCTTGCAAGTAATTTGTTGCAAAACTTCGGTGAAAATGGTGCTTGATGCGTTCCCTGATTAGGGTGCCGGTTCCGCCGTGAGCTGACGATATGATTGTCATTCAGAAACTGTTTTACTTCGAGGTTGTGCCGTGAAACGCCATTGGCATTCCACATTGTTATTCGTAGATTTGCCACTTGTTATTTGGACTGCTTAGCTACAAGCAGCTGTAGCACCAAGTTCTGGTTATGAACCATTGTTTGCATGGTCGTTTTCATGAATGACATGAATTCCATCATACTTTATAGCATTGTGTCTATCATAGATTTCAGAGTGCCTTGCGACTGAACTTGGATCTGCTGGGAGTTTCCTAAATTAGGCTGGAGTGGGTTTTCCGCCCCTGATCGAAGGGCAGCGGCATATGAGCATCCCTTCTGGGTATTTACGTGTCGAAAAATACTTCCGGCGTCGTACGTGAGTAATTGTACGAATTTTGGGTATTTTCTCTCTACGCATTCGGTCCTTCCTCTCCTTATGGGGGCAGACAGCCCCTGTAGTTTGCCGTGTTACCTTGGCAGTTAAAGCATTTTTTCTTTTTGAGATCTTCTTGGTTGGCAGGGCAGTTGGGCTCATTGTGGACTTACAATCCACTCAGAATGTTCGAAGTGAACAGTATGCCCTGGTGTTTCCTGGATGAAGACTGTAATCAATGTTACTTTCATAATACTGTCATAAAGTTGGTGGCTTGATGACGACACGGAAAATCATAAAATATTGGGACTTTCTGATGGGGGTATATTCATGTAGAAGCCTGTTGAAGTTACAGGTTTTAGAAACATAGTAGTCTAAGATTAAAATTAATCCAAGCGGAAAACAAATTATTTGGACTTTCTTAAGGGGCTATATTCATGTAAAATTTTCCGTAAATTCGGTCAATCCTCAATGACCTACTCATGCAAAAAAGTTGAAGACACCCGAAAAATGGGTGTTTCGAACACTCACTTTTTTTGCTTGAAGTATTTCGGGTGTCTGTGCAATAGATTCTTGTGCATAGAATGGAGTGACCACTGGAGAAGGGGAAGTATTCCACTCGTTTAATTTGGTGGGCATACTATCCCCAATTACAACTGAGTGCGGCAATCCGCTGATCATATCATGTTTAATCAATAGGCGCAACCAAAATGTAACACTCCAATCGAGGTCTAAAAAAACTGGCGCAGCAAGGTTAAACAAGGCAACAACAAACAGCCCACTTACCTTAATCAAAACGGTAGCTCCGAGCACTTCGTTTGCAAGACAAAAATAAACCAAGCCAATATAATCAAAAATACTGGACGACTGATAGAGACTTGTCTCTATTTATCCACATAAAAAGGAAACCAATCCCACAATAATCAAACAAGGCTAACACTATCAAGATTATTTAGACTTCGGAAAAAAACTGGGTAAAACAAAACACTGCCAAATAATCTGTTCGCCGTTCTTAGTGATCTGCACGACAAAAATGGAACCGTATTGGCCGGCACACCCCAACAAAAAACCACTCGCCTGTCCTTATTTATCAAGTTCGTTACCCAGAATACGACACAGACAAATCAGGTATACAAAATATATAAGCTCACACACTGACCAACCCTCAAATCAATACATTAGGAAAATATCACGTCCATGACATTATACAGACCAACTATTAACATCACTCATTTTGGAAAATCAAAAAAAAAGATCAATGTGACTCTTTGTGGTGGGCCTACCCACC